ATATACATATATACATTAATAAATTAATATAAATTATAGATATTTCATTTAATATATATATATATATATGAATTTATTTAATACACGAGTTTCACAATTTGAGTTGAATTACTGAAATAAATGAACTTTTCCATGACATTCTAATTTATTGAGATGCACCTGTATATACAATTGAACATTATATATAAATATCATATATTAAAATAACAATTATAACAAAATTTAATTGTAACTTGTAGCAACAAAACATCTTCAAAATCACAATCCAATCAAAATAAAGTCCCATTTACATAATTTTCTACTTATTTCCACTCGTTTCTCGCTCAATTATGGCACACTACAGAATTTAAACGTGTTAGATGACCTTCAGACAAATAAAACCTCCATGATCATGAAGTGACTCAAAAGAATCAAAACATTAAAGAGGAAATAAAGTGGTGCTGGGATTCACATGAGTTCCACTGAGGGCAGATGTAAACCCAGAGCTATTTAAACTCTCAGATGTTCTCTGAACTGAAGTCTTGCGTTAAACTCTTCTCTTCTCTGTTCTCAAACACACACACAGACATGCCCCCCCGCGGGGCCCCAGTGTTTCCTGGGAAGAGAAGGGCCAGACAGTGCCCGGGCAGAATTGGCTCATGGTTGGCTGCACTCCAAGGTCGCCAGTCGGCTTGGCCCTGGTTTGCAGCAGTCAGAGCCTCAGAGCAGAGACGTTTCACTACACACACACACACACACAGAGAGAGAGAGAAAACGGACACTAATGATTTTACGTAAGAATGCAAACGCTCATATATTAAACACACACAATCATTCTGTTTGAGCTGAGAGAATGAGAGAGGGTTACTCACTCGTGTCTGATTCAAGACATCTACTGATAAGAATTTCTGCAAAAGTGGATATTACACATCCATAATGGAGTCAAAATGTTGCTCCAAAGGCAAGTTGTTAGATTAGAATGAAATATTGTTTTTTTCCCTTTAAAATAACATGCAATGGTACATTTTGCAAATAAAAATAAAACTAAGTAAATAAATAAAAGACCAGAATCATTTAGACTACTGTTCAAAAGTTTGGGGTCAATAAGATTTTTTGTTGTTGTTGTTTAAAGAAATGAATACTTATATTCATCAAGGATGCATTAAATTGATCAAAAGTGACAGTAAAGACATTTATAATGTTATAAAAGATTTCTATTTCAAATAAATGCTGTTCTTTTGAACTTTCTATTTACCAAATATCCTGAAAAATAAAATGATTGACAAATTCCAGAAAATATGAAGCAGGCTCAATTGTTTTCAACATTGATAATAATCAGAAATGTTTCTTCAGAATGATTTCTGAAGGATCATGTGACACTGAAGACTGGAGTAATGATGCTGAAAATGCAGGTTTGATCTCAGAAATAAATTACATTTGAAAATATATTCATACAGAGAAAATATATTTTAAAATTAAAAATATTTAACTTTTTTTTTTTTATATTTTTGATCAAATAAATGCAGCCTTGGTGAGCAAAAGAGACCTTATTTAAAAAAATCTAACCAATCCCAAACATTTATTATGAAATTAAACCAATTTTAGTTTGATTTAAACCAAAATGACCCTAGAAGCATAGATTGAGAATGTCAAAATAATTTGGCTTTTAACTGCATTAAGAAAGCATCCAAAAAACCTCATTGAGAAAGCAGTCTCTTTCATGACAAGTTAAGTGTCATATCTGAGCGAGTATTTCAAAATGCATCCAAAAGTCTTATGAAAGCATGTCTGAGTGTGTGTTACGCTGATGTGGCCCTCCCTTCACAGGAGCCACGGTGTCTCTGTCTTATCACTGTGCAGCACACACACACCAGAGCACTGGCCAAACAACAAATTCCACCGCCTCTGTCACTCCGTCCACGTCACACACGGCTGTCGCTGTTCCTATTCAACACTGAAGAGGGAGAGAGAAAGAAAACAGCAGAGACAGAAAGAGGTAGAGCTCTGCGCAGACAGGCAGTCTGGCCCTTCACGCTTCCTTTGTGTGTGTGTGGGTGTGTGTGTGAGTGTGAGTGTGAGTGTGAGTGTGTGTGAGTGTGAGTGAGTGTGTGAGTGTGTGAGTGT